TATATAATCGAAATAAAAAAGCAAAAATCGAACGGTCGATATTATGATATTATTATGTAAATGTGCGCGTATTCAAACCGTGGTAATATATTATACCTGTGCGCGCTATTTATAATAATAGACATAAGGCATGCGTATAATAAAAAGGGTAACCGGTACCTCACACGAAATCGATTACCACGGTAAAGAAAAATACGTGAAAACACGATATATTTTCTCACGCGACCTTTGTCGCTATTTAGTTTTGGTTATTTTTTAGTTTTTTTTTTACTCTACTTTTGTCACTATTTTGGCATTTTCTCCTCCCTCCTACGCATACGAGTGTGTAACGAAGACGTGGTCGTAATTATTCGCTTTTCTAGGTAATTTATTAGTTTTCGCTTAATTACTACAATCTCACGTGGTTGGAGAAGGGATGACAAATTAGGGGTTTAGACCCTTTGGTGAGCGGCGCGCGTGTGTATAATATGTGGTGTACCCAAATCCCCAGTGATGAAATCGGCGGTTTAGAAAACGGTGATCGGACATGTGAAAAAAAATCTCCTAATATATATATATTAATTATTGAGCACACAATAATCGGCTGCAGAGCTCTTCTGAACTACTGTGGCGTTGTTTGTTCGATTCTTTCAGATATTGTTTATAATATTTTAAAATAATATACAGGATAATTTCCCCAAGTATGTTTAGTTACATTTTTTCCTTGTAATTATTTATAAAGGGAATCACTCAATTTATGATTTTTGTATAATTTTTGAATATATATAATTAGAACATATTTAAAAATGTATGTCTAAATTATACGATTTAAGGAGAGTCATGTGTGATGATACCAACTTATTTTTATTTCAAATAAAATTCACTTTTCAAAATTTCTGCAGTATAATAAATACTAAACCAATAATATATACACATAACATATATATATAATATTATATATATGTATTATGATATTATATTTTATATAACTAAATTTAATAACTTTTATCTTATTACTAGCTACATACATTTTAATAAATAAAAAAACTTTTAATTTGAATTTTGATCTAAAAGCATCAATGTTTTCATAAAAACCCATCTAAATCTAGGTAAAAAAGGTTGGTTCTCAGTTGAAAAAAACTCACTTCTTAAATAGTTTAAGAATCTAAATAATTGAATAATTAGTCGATAAGGCTTAAGTAAAATTGGAAAAATTTAGATGGAAATGCTATTTGAATCACTTCGTACATATCAAGACACAAACTTTTTTTACCTAGTACTCAACAAATAATATTTGTGTATTAGCGCTGTCAAAGTTTTTATCACTATCCTTTGCGTGGAAATTACTGAAACCTAATTTTACCTTATGTATTAATAATTATGAGTAAACACTATTATTACATCTTTCTTATGAATAATTTATGTAACTTATTCACGATTCGTCGGATGAATTGTTTGTTTTGTTAATATATTATTATTGTTAATAATCGTTGTATTATCCAGGCATATAATTATCTACTTGAAAAGATCATATTCATTATACATATTAATATTGTTGTATTACATTTCACGCGGTATTGATAATAATAATAATATATTTATTGGTTTTCACGAACAATTATTAATTTTCTATTTTTAGAGTATACACATTATTTTCTTTTTTTAATGTATGTTTTAACATTTTTCGTAACTCGCATACTTAAATTATTTTTCTCGTAATCAATTAAGTTATTTTGTTCAGTTATACACTCAATTCAAACCTATTTTTTTTAGATATGAATGATATCTTAAAACTGTTTCTGCCGAGAGAATAGTGCAAATATTGAGCTATAGGTACATCCTGTATTATATTATTTGTTTATGCGTTTGACAAATTCATGTACGCTATATATTATATTATATAACATCACGAATCTATCTAAAAGCGGTTATTTTCAATCCTAAAATACGTCAGAAAAATGTATCACGGATCGTAGTATACATAATAATAACCATAATATAACGAATAGCGTATACGTTTATATTATGAATGACGATCGCGATGCGTTTTACCATCGATTCCTATCGACAGCTGTGTGATCGATTGTCCATTATAATAATATTCTATACGCCTATAACGGTCTCTGGAAAACGTTATCGACGGGATATTTAAAAATTCGTAATCGACGTTTATTAAAAAGTTTATTTTATCTCGACGTTTATACACCGTAGAAGACAAGCGGCACAGCTGAAATCGATCACAAATCTGATAATAACACTATTATGTTTTAATCGTGTTTCGAAATCACCACCTCGACCAGGCGCCCGCTGTTCCACAGCATGGAAAAGTATTTTATATTTTAACAAAAACGTGTCGGCAGTGAAGAAATTCATCCGAAAATATTACGGATAGAGTACGGGCAGTATGGGTACTGTATACACATACACAATATGTATGTAATCAGTTTTTGAAGTCCTCTTTTCAGCGTTTTGAAATAAAAAAACGTCTTCGCACACTGTTCTTATTGTTTACAGATCAGCGATCGTGTAACCCGGATTTTCGAACAAACACGAACGCATGATGTGTGTATACTTCATATTTTTAACATAACAAAACGCGTTGCGACACCATCGACCATCGTGTAACGTTATTTTATTTTCATAAACGATAAAACGACGTTGTAAACCACTCTAAAAAAAATACCGCATACGTATCGAAATTCACCTATCGCCATTGCCAAAGCAAATCACGATATTTTCGAGTTCATGCAGTTACGATTTACATTATTTTCATGATCCTTTTCACAGCGTCAACAACCGTGTTGAAGAGTAAAAATACACAGGCCAACTCGGCCTGAAAAAGTATAAATGTATCATAAGTTTTATTGATTACATTTTACCCATTAAATGTTAGTAATCATACAGTAGATCAATTTGATTAGAGAAGAAAAAATAAATGACATAAGGTCCACATGGTTGAATAAAACTATTATAGCGCGTTGTCTAGATCACTGACCCGAGTTCAATATTTTGTTTTTTTCAATAAAATTAAGTAGTTATAAAATAATTATGTTAAAAGATCTCTAGTCCATTTTATTTTCAGTCGGAGTGTAACATCGGATAGGCCTGTGATATATATTTAGTATAAAATATAATATACGAGATGATTTAAATGATTATGTGTTTTTTTATGAAAATTCTTTGAAGAATTTAAATGCTTGATAAGAGATAGTCATTATATTGAGGTATTTATAGAGGATTCGATTTTACCACGGAGCATTGGTTTTTGTTGCGAGGGATATTGGCTGGAAAGATTTTTGTACTTGACTCATTTGGATGCTGCCCAAAATTGGATTCAACAATAGAAGCCAAGAGGAAAAATAGTTTATAATAATATTACACTAAGATAATATAATAGTTATTAAACTTAAATACAAATTTAAATCTCTCGATCATGGTAAACCACCAAAACGCGTGAAAACAAAACTACGTCACCACACGCGTCGGATTAGGTTATTTTACTTTTAAGTTTGTTTTGATGATGTTTGATCGGTAGGTATTCTCGTCCGACAGAATATGTTATAAACCTATATTATGTTATCCGCCGTAGTTTTACGTTTGTTTAATAACGCTGTTTACAAAATATGAAAATTATTACCTTACCATTAAACTGTAGAATGATTTATTTTTAATTACATACGGAGCGTTTCTACCGTGTTTGTGTTTCGGTACCATTAATACTCTGGTTCAGAGAATATAGATGATTTATTACATACTAATTATTTTAATTTCATCGTGAAAATATATTCGGTGTAGGAATTTCTATATTACGTCCCATCTTAATTTCAATATCATAAAATAAACCCAATAAACATATAGGTAGGGACCAAGTAAATCATCAAACTATCGTAGTGGACAGTTAATATTATTGATAATTGTACGCGTTACGTTTAAATGTACTATCATCACTATTCGGACGAAAGATAATTATAATTATATATGATTAGATCGATTTCTCCGTGATCTAAACGTCTTCGATATTTCATAACGATGTTCAAAACACACGAGTATACTTATTACTATTAAAACTATTTATTAGCGAGTGGGTGATTTGATAAGCCTCATAAGACGCGTATTTTTTCTTTTACCGATTTATTATGATTTTTTTTCCGCATTTTACCTTCATTTTTATAATTTTATTGCACATACAATAACGCGAGCGGTGTACAAGTGTAAGTTAAAGCCTAATTCGTTGTATTTAATTTAATGACGCCATAATGTTGAAATATTATTATACGTGTAATATTTTATAATTATGTATATATACSCCGTAATAATATTATACATTATACTTTGCATTTATTTCCTACTAATTAGTATGCAGTATGGTAACCGGTGGATTACTTTTATAAGCACCTCGTTTCAATTATTCATTGTTATTATTATTATTTTTTAATTAAGTTTTTTATCCCTCCAAACGTTACACTCGGTCCGTATACGTAGATTTGTATATTAATTAATTTTTATCAATTTTTAGAATGAGCAATGAAAACTTCCATTAGAATTGTTATTCAGCCTATTACGGCGGATGCATACTTCTGTCTGAGATTGTATCAAAGTTATATATATATATATATAATAGCTAACCCTACGAGTATAGTCTTTAATACGGAACGGTTCTATTTCAAATTTATCTATATAACACGCGTCTTCCAAAAATGAAAAATTGCTTAAAGTCCTTTCGATTAATGTCGTTTAACCGACTGAAGTCAGATTTCGTTCCAACTGCGGCAGGTATATATAACAAAATCGGTAATAAATTAAACCGTGACCTAGTAGGTATAATAAATGTACGACTGATATAATAATAATAATACGATGTCCCTCGAAACCAGATTTTATTATACGGCTTATATAATATTATGTGGAGTACGAACTCGTACTAAAATAATATATACTCGCAATAAAATCGGCCGTTATTGTTATTTTTTTGTCGTTTGTCCCTCATAACCAGTAACCGGATTTTATGTTTTATTCTCCAGGTCGTTGGTATTAATGGCCATTATAGTGGGCACATCATATTACGTGGACCGGAGTCAAGGGGACTCGACAGTTATTCAACCGGCGTCGGTGGTGTCCACGTTGTTGCAGTTAAGATGGCCGTTGCAAAGTCAGTGTCATTTATTTCTATTTATCTCTTGATAATAATATATTATACGACATGCGAACGAATTACTTATATAATAATACTATAATAATATATTTGTGTGTTTTGTTTTTTCATGCTTTTAATTTCGCCATGGCGTGCTCGCGCGGGTAACAGACAAAGCAGACGAGGGAATAACGGCGACATCAATTATTCAGAGGACCGTCGTTATAAATGCGACCGGGGACGACTTAATGTCCGCAGTAGAGGAAGGCTACAAAAGTTTGAAAGCCAAAGAGGATTTAGAAAAAAACTTTCCGACAATTGATGGCGGGACTCCATCATACCGTCATCAGCAAGTGATGAAGTCCGGCCCCGAATCGATAGGAATCGCGCGGAACGGTTACGTCGAAAACATCGCGACTGAAAAATTGAGGTCGGCGCAACGTCGTCAAACGACCGCTTGGCACCCACCCGCCCAACCCACACCCCATCGCACACAACCACTATCCCTCACACACGCACGACCCGCTTCCTGCCAAATCCCACTGCCAGAAACGTTTCGACGAAGTTATTGCTTGTTTCTAGTTTTATTTCCCCCCCTCCTTAACTCTCCCACTTCCTAGTCGCTGTATAATAATAAATATTATGAGGTTATACAATATTATTATAATGTATCGTTCCAAACTAGGTTTCTATTTAAATTATTCCCGTCTCCCCCACTCACCACACAAACAAGTCGTGACAAAACATCGCGATTTCAACGTCTGAGGTCTTACATTGTCACCGCTTTCCTCGTCGAGCAAAATTGATATTATATTATTATGGTATAATATATTTCAGTAAAACATTCACGTCGTAATAATTTTATGATTTGCGTCTAGTTTCACGACCAATCGACTCCTTTAGTCCTTTAGGAGTTTTTCACTAGGTATCACAAAGAATCTCTTCGCGGTGCACAGATCGCGATTTTACGATACACGGGTGAACAGAGCTAACTCGGTGAAGACTACGATGATGATGAAAATGGCGATGATGACGATGATGATGATGATAATAAATGGAAAAGGGAACGAGTAGAGGATATTACTCTTGCAACCCGATATGGTTTTTTGGGGTCGGTCACTGGGGACATACATACGCTATTAAGTCCAACGAAACAACACCGTCGCGCTAATAAAACAAAACAAAAAAAAATACATATAAAATTCTACCTTCATTACGACTACGTGCGCGTAAACCATATTAATTTATTCATATTTTTTTTTTAGCCTTCCTACACCTTTTTATTAGATAAACATTTTTAAAAGCAATTTTTGCAATTTTGCACTTTTTGGGTTTTTAAAAATCGACTAGCTCGGAGTGCCGTGATATTTAATAATTTAATTCGATGTCACATTGTGTGTAAACAATATTAACGTCTGTTATGGAAGCCATAAGCGATAAGTAGAGTCGAATAGATCACTTTGACAAACATCGACATAAGAGTATTACCTATAGGTAATAATGATAACTTATCAAATATCGTATTATTATGAAAACATTATTACCTGAACATTTCTGAGGAAACTCATATATAGTCAAAAGTCACGTAAGTAGAGTGAAATACTCAAATAAAATTGTTAATAATATCGTTAATATATTATATTATTATAATATTATATCATAATTAACAGCAACGTTGGTTGGATATAATATGTAATCATGAACTAATTGATATACTTTGCGGCATGCAAATATTGATTTAATTTTCTATCATATTATATACGAGTATATCATATTAAATGTTTGAACAATATATTACAATATTAACATAGTTTGTGCGTATATTAACTATGATGGAACAATGTGATATACGATGACATTGATTTCGCCATACAATTCGTTGTTTTAATCGAATTTTCAAATATGACGTTATAGACCGTTTAGTTCTATATTTTAACATTTTACCATTATAGTTCGAACGGCTTACGCACTTACGGGTTACACAGCTTCATTTGGTTTATATAAACTTGTGACAAAGACGTTTCTATTTTGTTGTATACCATTCCGGTTTTAAAAAACACTGAAAAAATTGACCAAAATCGATTAAACTTCGACAAAGAGTTTGTCGGGAAGAATTTCCGAACGTTTTTTCTTCGACAACTTTAATAAAAAAAAAACTGATAAATTCTAAAAATTTTAATTACTGTCATAATAAACTGTCAATGTTATAATTATAAAGCAAACGAACGGCACAATCTCGAACAATACACTTACCTACCGTAGTATATAGAATCCATCGATTTAACTATAGTTTTCGAAATCTCCAACGCATCCCTTTACCTCGCGCACTCACACGATTTCGACTTACCATACCACACTGCGCAGACTGCACCGCATGTTATGCTGAAACGCTGCACGGAAACCAATCCAAAATGCCGAGCCACCGTACCTTTATGTATTTAAAATAAATAATTGTTTTCGGCTATCGGCGATTTAGACTGCTGTTAAACGTGCCGAAGGACCAGGACGTTACGGCATTGGTGAGCAATGTGGCCGTTTTTAACAACACTGAGTGCACGAGTCCTGAACCGGTGATTTGCCCGCAGCAGAGTCGTTACCGGTCGGTAGAAGGCATTTGTAACAACATTTTGGAGCCTCTCAAAGGCGCCGCGCTGATGCCGTTCCACAGAGTGTTGCCAGCTGACTATTCGGACGGTACTTACGTTATCATATTATTGTTTTGATATATATATATATATATATATACATATATATTATTGAGCTGATTATTAAGATGGTATACCGCTTTTCGTAGTCGAGTGGGCTGTGGGTGAGTTGAGGTCCGACGTGTTGTTTACAACATTGGAGACCGGTGAATTACATCTCTATAACCCGGTATCGATGTTACGCTTGGGCGTGAGAAGGGAAAAAAAACATTGCACTGACATATCTTATATCGCTCGCCTCTTAAAGGAGAACGCCATACCTGAATGTGTTGTCCCCGTCTTACAAGTGCGTAACATAGCAAATTTACGCTCAGCAGATTAGCTCATTTAGTCTAAAAATTTAGAGTGAATCAACCTATCATGAAACTTGATGTTGAAAACATTATCTGCGTTTGGATGATCTGGATTTCTTACGATAGTTCAATTTAGTAGCAAGTTATGCGTATAGAAAAAAGCGTAAATTAAAAATGCTCATAACTCACTTAAAAACAGATCATAAAAACCCAACATACAAAAATGGATAATGTTCTCACTTTTAAATTTTTTAAGAGGTCAATTCATTTTAATTTTTAAACTAATGAAGCTAAACGTGATCTTCTGAGTGTAAATTTGATGTAGCGCACTTSTAACTAGTCAGACGGAGACAACACATTCGGATATGGTGTCCTTTTAATAAATTACGATTTGAAAGAAAACAGATAAAACAATAATATGGAAAAAATATGGAATTTTAAATGAAAGTATATTATAGTAAGTAGCAGACAGTTCGCAGTTCCACACTAAATTTTCACAATCTTTCGAAGTGTTCTATAGATTTTTCAAAAATGTCAATGTACCTATAAAATTATCCAACTCTAACTCTGCATAATATAAACATCATTATTATAGGTTAATATAGTAGTTAATTTAGTATTCCAAAATTAATTTAATATATGCGTATAATATTACACTGTTGTTACTTTTTTTTTATAAAAATAGTTGAAAAAATATTCTTCTTTGGAATATAAAATCAAAAATGTACTGTTTATTAACACAAAGTACAACTAAACATAAAACGGGATAAAAAAAAAATTAAATTTCCTGTTTTATCTTATGCATTAATAAATTCAGTTTTATAGTATACGTGCATAATATATATCAAATTGTTGCACGAATTTTATATTCAGTTTTGATCGATAAGAAGAGCGCCATTACGTCGAAAACAATCATCGAAAATCTTATTGTTTTCATTTTATTTTCAAATTATCTTTCATAATATACAATAGTTAGGAAGCAAATCATTTTAATAATTGAAAAAAAAAATTAATATTTGTAAACTTTTTGAATATCAACAAAAACCTGTTGACCTATGTTCTACATACTCGAACGGATTCACTCCAATTGAGAGTTTAAACATTTCTCACTACCTATAATAACAAATTATTACAAGGTGTATAGGTAGTATGACCAAAGAAAACAGACAAACATTTGAAATTCGATAGTATAATTTTAAAAAAAATAAAAAATAATATTTATAATTATGCTGGGAAACCCTCTACAAATCTAAATTCGTTTAGATTAATAAAAATTTATGAATGAAAAAAATATACCTTTGTAATAATATAACATCTATGACAATCACCATCACTGCCGTATAATCTATAACCTAGTCGGAAAGATGCTCTTGGATGGCCACAAATACCTTTATTTAAAAGTGATAATTATCGTTATTTAATTCCGCATACTTTTTAACGAGTGAGTTTTAAAATATTAAGTAAAAAAAAAACGCAAATTAAAACCATCGTTATAAAAACAAAAAAGAGCAATAAAACCCGAGTAAGTGTACTTATTCGCATATACTTAAACATTGTAGGTAAACGTTTTTTTTCCTGTGAACACATGTATGTAGAGTTTTTAAAGTAATGACGTATAATTTTAACAAATAAAAACAGGAAAAATATATTACTGAGGTTTAGGTACACCATAATAATTATTATATTAAAATTTTTTATATAAATGAAAAACGTTTAAAGATGAGAGCTGCGTACATGTGGTGATTATATTTTTTGTTCACCACCAACTCATTATTTTTTCTGTCGTGCCCACACGAGCAAGTGTTTGTTTGAAAGGTAAACACAATTTCATGAAAATTTAAATATTGTATTAAACATAAATAATTATGTTTAACATAGAAAATAGTCACGACGAATTGTATAAAATAAAATTATAATAATATGAACACACTTGAGTACGGATCAAATTGTATTATCATTCATTATTAAATAAATATTATAACGTAATTTTTGATGACTAATTATAGTTTTTAATCATTATTAATTTTAACAATGAATTTTACTGTAACAATTAGAACACTACTGCAGCGCCACAGGTGTGGATAACGACAGAGAGGGGCAAATCAAATCTATAAGTACATCTTCCAAGATTGGGAAAGATACTGGAAAATAAACATTTTGTTTTTTTTTTTTTAAATTATGATAAGACTAGTCTAAAACCAGAAACATACAAGATACTTAAATTTGTTTTAGTTATTTATTTTATTAAATTAACTTGTAATTTTAATTATACGGTGTATTATATGTTATGAAAAAGCTATGATTTTGAAAAAATTATATAGCAATCTTGACTTCAACAGACATAGCCCGTTAGTCAGATAGCGAATATGATGGAATTGAAAAATAATCGAGCAATTAAACAACATTATACAGAAGTATAATAATAATAATAATATTATGATGACTAAAAAGCACCTCCGCGAAGAGTTATGCAGTAGCCTGATATATATTATGAATTTAAATTCTTATCAATAATGAACGTATAATAATAATATAATCACCCACTGCAGAGTGGATGTGATTGTTTTAAACACGTTTTATCAAATCTTTATATTAACGAATTTAATGTTTTATTGACTCGCAGGCGTGTGGAAACCGAGGAAAGCGGCGGACGGTTCGGAGTTGCCGTCAGCCAAACAAGTCAGCGAGGATGTGCACCGACAATCGTACGAAGAAGATCACGATTTCACCGTCATGTTGGCGGTCTGGGGTCAGTTCATGGATCACGACATCACCGCCACCGCGCTGAGCCGAGGTGAATAATATTTACTAACTAATTATTGGTAATGACATAATATAGGTCGATATATTATTAATTATTTTATACAATAACATCACACATATTTCGATCAAAGTTTCAAAGTTTTGTTTTAAACTATTTCCGGACATGGAGTTTCAAAAAATTTGTTTTTTAATTCGTATTAATAACGGAAAACTTTTGGTTTTGTAAAAGCTGCTTTTTTGCGACTGATAATTATTATTATAAACAAGTTGTGTGGGTTTTGTTTTGGCCTTTAACGCATTAACTTGGTTATATAAATATGAATGTTATTTTTTTCAATAACTAAATCATGCCTAAAACTGTAGAACAACTATTCCGAATCGTGAAATATCACGGTAAAACTAAAAATGCAATAATGGATATTTGAATATTTAATTTGAATTAAAATACCTATGTAAGCTCGTGATGAAACTGTATAAAGGTAATTATTTTTTTAACGATTGTTAAAATGACAAAATAAAAGTAATTATAAAATATGTTTCAAAAGCGTAATCTAGATGTATTAAATGTTAATTCAATTTCATAATGGCAGGTAGATAAATTAGCAATATGCTTGAGAAAGAGGCGATTTTTCTGATGATATTTTTGAAACTTAAACCTGCCTTCAAAATATAAATTAAATTCTACTTAAGCGTGATATACTTTCTTTTTTTTTTAAACTGTAAGTACACCTGGGATAGGTATCGTGTGAATAATTGTCCTCCAAAACTTAGTTATATATTTTTGCATATCATTTTAATCAAAGTTTAAAACACTTTTAGGAAACGTTTACTACATCTTGTCGGGACAAAATAAATTACTTTGACTTCACACGACTTTTTACATTCTAAAAAGTTTAGCTTACTAGATCCCCTCGAGAGAATAGTCATAGGTATCATTTTAGACGTAGTGTAGTCAAATATTGTGACTAGAGTTGTAAAAAATATAGACATTCTCTATATTGGTTGAAACTAAGTTATGTCTCGTACCCTAAGGGGACCATGGGATTTTAAACAAAATTTATATTATTTTACTCGCAGCTTATTAGATATGTCAAGTCATTTTTCCTGGCGCATATTATGTATATGAATGTATATGTATTAAACATATTTATAGAAATTAAAATAAAATACATACATACTACTTTCTGGTTTTAAACAGTGTATTTACTATTTATTATAAGCGATTAGAAAATTCTTTGTAGGTACTTGTGTTATTATTTTTCGATAAACAAAAACGTGACAATATGCAAATATATCTAATTCTGTTTTGAATTAAATAAATCGAACTTTAGAACCCATATTATATTAGATAAATAATTAATTATTCATATCAGTAATTATAAAAATTGGACCTATTAGATTCGGACATAATCGGTAGGTTAGGATCGATTCTGTCAATCAATTTTTGTTTACATTTACTGTTACGATTGCATTCAGCTTTTATTATCTTAAACGATCCCTATCAAAAACAAAGAAAAAAATGTACAGCAATTTTGTCACTACTAAAATAATTTAAACCTTAAATTATAAAAGTATATAGTGAAATAGTATTGCAACAAAAATAAAATAGATGACATTATGTTAATTTTTTATTGGGACTACATCTGAAACATAATATAAAAAAAAAATTTTAAACGTCGATCAGTAGATATATAACACATTTTTAACGTACATTTCCCCAACCCTATCCCCTCCACCAATTTCAATTTTTAAACTTTTTCCAATGACAATATTTAGTGATCCATTCCTGCCGATTCCTGCCACCACTCCCGGAATTCCTGCTCAACCACTGCCCCCACGAAAATTAAGAATCTAGGTAAAACGGAGGAAAGGTTTATCCTGCACCACCCATTGGTCAATAATGACATTGGTCGATCGAATTTGGCAATCCAGCCATCTGAAAGTAGACTAATTTTGGGTTGTTGAACAATTGAGAACAACTGAAAAATTATTTAAAGATAAAAAAAATATATATATATATATATCACCCTGTAACTACTTTTTATGAATTGGCTGCTATATAAGATCACATCACTGAAAAAATCTCTTTTATTTGTTTATTTCAAAATTATTTAACTGTACCTACCGGCTACCACCGTCCCCTATGAACTATTCATAATAAAATATTCTTATAATTACATATCATTATGTGATATTTATTAGGAGTTAGAACTTTGAATGGTCTTCAAAATTTTTAATGATACTATTCATTAGTAGTTAAGTTGATTCTTAATTAAGATTTGTGATTTGATAATAGGTATGCATTGTGAAATAATAACAATTTCCTAATTAATTACTCCCTTTCCTTGTTTAAAGTTTTTGTTGGATTTCCGCAAGCTACTAAACTTACTAACTACACACTACCTGCTACGTTTTTTTACTATGTTTTTTTTTATATTTATCAGCAGTAATACCAATAAACAGCTTAACATAATGTTACGTATTTTTCCATTCGTAAATTGAAAAAATATTAGTTTTAATTAAATCAATAATAACAAAAAATCAGAGATTCGAGCCTAAACAATCATTAAATATTCAGGTTTACTATATGAACAAGTAAAAAATACGAATTTCGATAAAAAGTTTTTGCGACACGCTTTGCGAATGTCGATACGCAATCAGCATATTTTTGAAAACTTTGTGGTTCAAACCGCAAAACAATTTTATTTCGCTAAACTACCTTTAGCTGAACGGTACGTTTTTGATGAATGAAAATTCAATGCTAATATTTAAAAAAGCAAATTTCAGCTAGGTAATACATAACAAAAAATGTACGACTCATAGTTATTACTAGAAACTAAATAAATAATTTTAAATTTAAATTTAAAAAAAACGACCAAGTTCCTCGACTGGGTGGTCTCTTTTCGCTATTATAATATTATTTATCAATAATGTTTATTGTGCAACACATGTAACATGTAACAGATTGTCTAAATAAAAATTATTTCTTTAAAAAAAATCTTAATATTATTACTGCGTCTCACTTATATTAATGTTTTATTTTTATACACGGTTGCAATTTTTTTATGAAATTGTATAATTATAAAATTATATTTACTGGAAAAAAAATATTAATTTAGCAATTGTCATTAATAATAATAATAAATTGTACTATCGCGGTAAACTTCGTGTTTCCCATCTTTACCAAGGTATATATTTTTAGTTTTTACAATTTTATTATTTATTTGAAAATTATTTAACAATATAATATATATATATATAACTTCAGGTCGTATAGTAGGTACAGTCTATAATTATTTCCGTCTCAATATCAGTTTGCTTACCGGAAATAAAAAATCTAACTTGAAAAAGTAAATTAATAGTTAGGTTTTTTTGAAATAATCGTTCGGTTAAAACAAAAAGGATTCAATGTTTCACATATTTCTGGAAAATGTTTCGAGCTCTAACGAGACATCACTGCAAATAACGTGCATAATATTTTATTTTATTAACGAAAACTCGGCTGTTTACAGGGCGTAACGGAAGCGCTATTTCGTGCTGCGGATCGGTGGGCAGAAACATTACACATCCCGAATGTTTTCCAGTGATTGTGCACGAAGACGAGAAAAAGTGCGGAAAATGCATGGAGTTTGTGCGGTCCTCGCCTGCGTCTACCTGCGGTTTCGGTAAGCATTAATTATTGTTCACCACTATTTTATTTTTGAGGCGCACGCTTTGAAGGCGACGAGAATAATTCATTATTTATAATATTAAACGTCAACGCGTGTATAATATACTTTGTAAAACGAAAAAATTGGTTAGGTTAGGTTATCAAATATCATCATTCGTATTTGTATTATTATTATTATTATTATAAATATTATATACTTAAAAGTTAACGTAATTATGTAGATATATATGTCTTAAACCGTACCTAGTCGATATTCACTATAGACATCCAAATGATAAGCCGATCATTAAATTGATAATCGTCGGGCCAGATTACGTCTTACGACTTGACAACGTTTCACTAAAATTCGTCAGGAGTCGTGTCATTTTTTGGGTGCAAAATAATATCTTTTATCATACATTGATCGTCCGCAATCGCGTTTCACCCAATATTATATAAGTAATTTGTACGACGATGGCGAATAATTATTATTGTAATTATTATTGCTGTATGTTGTTTTCGTTTTGCTATTGGTCAATATGATGTAGTTTTCACGATTGATATCCTTATGGCTTATTATACCAATATACCAAACACAGTGAATCTCCAAGCATGTGCAGCCACTCTTTTTTTCTTCAATAATCCATTAATTTAAAATCTGATTTTTGAACTTTTTTAATATAATACTTATATTATGTTCTAAAAGACCAAATTTTCTAAATTTTGACATTATTTGTACTGCGTTCTTAAAGAGTGCCATGTAAAGATACAAACTTGACGTTTTTCAAATGAAATCTCCTTATTTTTAATTATAGAGGTTTAATTTAGAGGTTATTTTTTCTGAAAAAAATTGACGTAACAAAATCAAAACACTAATTTGTAGTTTTTGAGTAACCCTTTTAACTATTATGTATATTATGAAATAAGAGTAAATTCATGGCAATTGGTTTGGTAAGTATGGAAGGCTACAGTAGTTTAAACATTTTGGTAGTTAGGTAAATATAAATTATTAGCATTTATAATTTTTAAAATATTCAAAGTTAATAAATACTAAATTCAAGTATTACATGAAGGTATTTTATACTTTTATAAAACAATTTTAAGCAATATTATCCTTAGTATAAACATTTCAACAACTTAGAAACATTATAAACTACAATATAGGTACCTACTCGATAAAATTTTGAATTAGGTACATCAAAATGTTCAAAAATACTATTCGCTAAACAATTAACCACGGAAATGGGAGGTTCTCATATGAAAAATAATTGTAGATCAAAGATACTCCTTAAGGGAAACAAAAATTCTCACAAATATTCATTTAAAACTTCAAAAAAATCATAAACTGAATAAATTCACGATGAAAAAATAGAGATGAGTGTGCATGGTGAAATACTTTTGTATATTTCCAATGCCTATGTCGCGGAAGTTGTAACTCGAATGCTTCGTCTACCGCAACCGTCGTAATGATAATAAAATCATGATGTCGGTCGTTAATTTGTCGTTCTCTTTAGGGCCCAGGGAACAATTGAACCAAGCGAGCTCGTATCTGGACGGTTCGTCAGTGTATGGCAACACGCGAAAATTGCAAAATGACCTGAGATCGTGGACCGGCGGACGAATGAAGGTGTTTGTAACCGAGTACGGAAAACAGTTGCTGCCGCCCAACAAAGATCCGATGGACGGGTGCAACGAAGAATCGGAAATGAAAAAAGGTCGATACTGCTTTTTGTCTGGTAAGCTTCGAATGTATCTCACTAATAATGGTTTCTTATAATAATAATATTTACCCGAAATACGTCTAGCCGCAGTACCTATATAATTTAATGTTTAGTTATATATAGGTATAATCGTATCAAATATCAATGCACAAAAGTCATAAATTACGACTTTAAAATTACAAACTTATTTTGATACATGCTATTTGAAAATATTTGGAACCACTTATACATTTATTACCTACCCATTGGGAGGCAACTAGTACTATACCTTTTTCGTTTACGGTAACATTTAGGGGGTACATTGGGAGACGACTCATATAAGATCGGACTGGAGGGCAATTCGTATAAAAATTATTGACCTTTTTTCTTCGGGAGGCAAATAGTGTGCGCCCCTATTTGCGCTATGTAGTCTATCGGCCTATATTATTAAGTACCTATTGATATATTATGATATTATAACGCAATTATAATAATGCTATTAATTACTTTGTAGTAATTTATATTAGTATTAATAATACGGACAATACGATGGAAACTATAAATAGGTAGGTAAACACTTAAAATTATTCTAAATATTTTTAAAATATAATTGCGTATAGCAAAATTGAATAATTTACGAAAACTTTTCGACTTCCAACAAATTTTTAAAAATTACAACAAAATAAACTTAATCGTTAATGTTGGGACTTAAATAATAAACTTCATCAAAATTTGAGATTAAAATGTCGACATTCAAAATTGTGCTTATACCATTATTAAATGTTTGAGTTCCAGTAAATACATAAGAAAAACCCCATGTTAAATTTTCAAGCATAATATAACTACGCTATAACAATTATTCCAAAATATTTTTTACATAGATACATGTAAAACTAGTACCATACATTTTATCACTATTTTTATATATCGTTCGTTCGTACTAATGTATGAAAACACATTGATGGTCTAGACGCCTATACGCCGAAGATCGCACTATTTTGAATATAACATCTACATGCCTAATAATTTAGCGATTTGGGGTCACTGCGAGGAAGATTGTAAAATATGAATATTATTGTATAATAAACCTACTGTATGTGTATAAAATAATACGATGTACCATAATATACAAACTAGGTACGATGCTATAATAAAATGTCCCACCAATGTTTATTTATTTAAAATGTCAGAGTAATGGATTTTACGTCGTTCCCTTCTCAGCTTTAAATTAGTAAATCCTCGTGAGATACCTTATATTATATAATATTATATTGTTATACGGTATAGCTGCCACGTATAAGGCGTGTTTACTCGATTTTATGAAGGGAGGGGGCTAATACTATATTTTTATGTATAAACACACACAGTGCGCTTATGTTTTATAAATAGCTTAGTTATAAAACGTGAGCTTCACCCTTTTGGGGTTAACGAATGGGCAACCCCACCCCCTTGGTAAATGAGAACATGTATTTTTAAATACCAACTGCTAGTTTTGAACAAATAATTATACGAGTATTAATAATATGAATTTTAGCTGTGGATTTTTTTTTTTAACTTGTCATTTAAATTTCGTTTCATTTGTTTAAATATAATGCTGTTTTTTCGAAAAACGAAATATTAATAAATTAATAATGTTAAGCGCATTTTTTTTAACAATCACAGGAGACGCCAGAGCGAACGAAAACATGCACCTGACGACTCTCCATTTGATCATGGTACGCCAGCACAACATGATTGCCGATAGACTGTCTTCGCTAAATCCCCACTGGGACGACGAACACATCTTCCAAGAGACCAGACACATAGTCACCGCTCAAATTCAACACATCACGTACTACGAATTTCTACCGGTATTGCTTGGTGAGTACTCCTATACTTGATTGTTTATAATTATTAACGTCTTTTAGGTCGGAATAAAAACGGAATGATTACCTATATATCCTGATTAAGCCCATATAGTTTATATGAAATAATTCTAAACCCTGAATTCATATTTTATAGTATTTTTGGGTATGAAAGAGATATAATTTCTACCGAGTAAAAATCAAGGAATTAAAATTCTCTCAAACTCACCATGAGATTCATTCCTTTTATTGGTAGGTACCGTCATTAATATAGTTACCTATTAATAATTATAATAACTTATTATAAATACCATATTTTACAATATTTAATTAGTTTCTTTGTTAAATTAAATATTCTTGGGACGTTTAATTACAATCGTTAGTTTCCATTTTGTTTTGTTTTTACTATCGCAAATACAGTAAAAAAAAAATAGACCTTAGAGATATGCTCATTATTAGGGAACGGATTTGAATGCAAATTGCATTTTTTTCTGAATGTCCGAAAACATTGGTTAGGTTAGGTTAGGTAAAAGTTAATTTCATACATCAAATAATTAAAAAATGTAACTTTTATTTTGCATTTTTTTGCATTTTTAAGACTTATTAATGCATTTTTAGAGGATTTTTGAAATTTTTAGTGCATTTTGTGGTTTTCCACATTCATTCTAAAATAAATTAAAATACCTAAATATGTATTATGTTACGAAATTACGAAATTATTGTTGACACGTGTATTATGTTACGAAATTACGAAATTATTGTTGACATGCGTAGACACAAAATATATACATACAAGTTACAACAAATTATTACCCAGCTTAAGGTAAAGATAAGAGATAAGATACGATAAACTATTTATCTCAAGTTAATTAATTAAGGTTGTGTTGTATTTAAATATTTTTTATCACATTTTTCATAATAATGTGTTTTTTTATAAGTTTTAAATACAAAATTTTGTTTTTATTGAATATAAACCCATTTTTTAAGTTTTTTAGGGCATTTTTATAGTTCATTTTTTGATGTTAAAGCATTTTTTAAAGATATTTTTGTTGTTTTTTAGAGCATTTAAATCCGTTCCCTACTCATTATTAATATCCCCCACAAAAATAATTCTAACTTTTTTCCGATCACAAAATGGCTGTTAAACAATTTCATATTTCTAGTTGTCTTTCTTTTGATCATCATTATTAAACCTCTTAGAAAAATATTGTATAAGACAGCTTTACGCTAAAAATAAACATAGTTTATTTTATGGAATTGTGGGATAAAAATCGATTAGGAAACGAGAAAATATGATTTTAACATATTATATTCAGAGCCATAAGAAAAATTATTGTTTACAATTTTCATTGCGAAGACCTTGTATATAAAATCAAAACGTCATAATATAAACGAGTATAATACAGTAGTACACCCCTAAGTTTAATTTACCTATATTTTATTGTATTATACAATGTATTTTACGATATGTTAAATTATTATTTTTTTTTTGAGAGAGAGACAGAGGGACAGAGAAATCGGGGAATACGATCAAATTGGCTTGTATATTATTTCATGAATAAAACTCTTTATGCCAAAATAAAAATATATTCTCTAAGAAGAGATATAATTTGGAGATATGATGACTTAACGGGTAAGAATATAAACTTAAATTGAATTTTATAATGCAGTAACTTTTCTTTGGCGTATTTTAAAAATTGTAAAATATTTTAATCATACATTAAACGCTAATAATAAGCATATCAATAACATACCACACCGATACACAACTTTTTAATCTTCCTTTTTTTTTAAATATGTAAACAAGCAGATTCAAAGTAAATACCAATTTAAAAGTGTGCAAACAAGTAAGTTAGGTACTCATTGTTCATGAAAATTTGTTTTTTAACAGTTAAATAATGTTTTAAAACTTTTATTAAAATACACAAACGCGCGTATATGTATCAATAAAACTTTATTTTATATATTTATTTTCAAATAAAATGTGTGTTCATTAAATGTCGCTAATGTCAAAATCGCTTAAAACTTTTCTCGACGTAATTTTCATAGAGGTATTCCGTTTGAAAAAGAAAAAAATGTCATAAAAAACACTTAGGTAAATTAAATTTTCAGTATTTAAGGTTAGTGTGAACTTTTAGAAACTTTCTAAAAACGTACCTAAATACAACTATATAACTATATAATGTAGAGAATTAATGTCTATCTTGTATATATAGGCTGTATAGAAACTATTCAGAAAAGAAACATGGCTCGTTTATTTTAAAGTTTTTATGCTTATTGCGCATGAACGAGTTATGTAATTGGATAACCTACGTCAAGTTAAGATAGCATGTCTGATCCCACTTATTTAAAGTTACAATTATACACGGCGAAAAAACTTTTAAAGTAGAAAGTTTTGTTTTTGCGCTGGTTAACAAGTCAATGTATCAACTATATTATTATACTTGTCTGAAAAAAAAACTATATATTAAACGATTTACTAGTATAATGCTGCAGCATTCAAATGAAAACAAACATTTTTTTTTTTGTTCTTTTAGATAGGTATATTGAAACGTTCTAATAAAATGCTTAAATAAGTTTAAAAATAAAACATGGGAGCTCGCTTTTATTAAAAATCATTTATTATTCGTTTATTTTAGTTGAGTATACATATAATCTGTATTCAGCCATACATTCTACGGAATATCTTAGGTATATTATTACCATAATACGTAACGCTTAAAACAATAATTAAATGTCACTGTCCATTATTAAATCAAGCCGGCCAGGTTAGTAATAATAATTAATTATATTGATTAACCGTAAATGGCTATAATATAATGATAACAAAACCATTTGATCGAAGCTGCAATAGTTTCGTTAGTAATTTAATAATTGGCCGATTTTTCGATATTTTATTCCAGGCGACAGTCTCATGAGGCGTCTGGACTTGTACCCTCGACAAACGGGTTATTGGAACGGATACAATTCAACAGTGGACCCGACCATCAGCAATAACTTTGCCACCGCGGCCTTTCGTTTCGCCCACACGCTCATACCGGTAAATTGTCGCCACTATAATAAGTTCAATTTTGTTGACTAGAGTAGATTTTAGATACTTTACCATAGGCGCCAATAGCGAGGGGGGCTTAGTGGGTATTAGCACCCTCAAATAATGTTGGTGTTTATGTATCAAAAACTTCTTCTTATACAAAAAAAAAAACTAAAATGTGTATATGCATATAGCTTAAACACCCTTAGTTTTTTTTTTAAATTTAAATTGCGTCTATGTATTTTACTTTAAGCTTTTTTTTACAAACAAAAACCTTTCTTTTTAATTGTCAATTGCATATCAATACAAACGTAGACGTATAATCAATAGCTTATAATATCAGTGGTAGCCACAGGTGTCCCAAAGGAAGAATAATACCTCCTTCCTAAATTTTTAATTATATTTAATAGTAATTCAATAATTATAAATTAACGCATAATTAATTAATATTATTATTAACATTCCAATTCGAGTTTTATAATATAAATATCATGATAACATCCATAACATTTGTGACTAGGAAAATCGAGAAATTTAATGTGAGAACAAAACGTCTTATAAAAATATCTTTTAGCTGCTGTAGTACAGAAACGTTAGAGTCACCATATAAACCTACGTTGTAGAAGTATATTAAATGGGTGCATATTATATAATATATAATACGCCATCGAATATTATCCATCGCGAACTGAAATACACATTATGTGCGTTTAACTACGGTAAAAATTATACATATTATAACATATGCATATGTATCACTTCGGTATCCGTTTGTTTATATATATAATGAAATTCAGATAGGTAATTCCGCAGAAGCCGCATTTAATCCGAAAACAATTTGATATCGTATTAAGCGCGTATTTTGTAAATGTATGTGTGTATATTATATTATATATTTATATACTCCTACCTACGGGTATATAGGCACTCAAAGCGACCCGACAACGATCCACGTCCCTGCCATCCGTTGGCCAATTGTGGCTGCGGGATTACTCGGGTTTTTATTCGAATATACCTACCTATTATTTGCAATTTTAATAATTTCGTTTAAACGATTTTGAGATTCAATACAACCATATCATAATAATAACATAATGGCAATTAAAGCTGCAGCAATAACTATATATTGTTATTATAAGATATTATGCCAATACAACACAGTGCCGCAACTGTGGCAACTTTGTGGGGCCCTGATGCGAAAACTGTTATGAGGCCCCTGTTGTACTTGTATTACAGTCTACAGCAGAATAACGAAAAAAAAAAGTTAGTGCCGTAACTAACTTTTTGTCACGATAACTATCCAACCGAATAACAATAAACATACACGTTACTAACAAGAACCCATTTCATTTTAGAAATTATAACTATATTATCCTAACTACCTATCTTATATCATTTTTTAATTTTTTTGATGGTTTGATATTCATAATATCGCCCCCCCCCCAATTTTTTTAAGAGTTGGGGGCCCTGGTACAATACATTTTTAATAATAGCTTACTTAAGTTTTCTTTTTGATGATGGACCGCCCCCTCCCATTTAAACACAAAACCTGGCCAGGGAAATTCAATGCATAACTTGCGTCCCCTACTGTTGTGGCACTGATACAATAATGCATTCAAGGTTGGTTTATGTATAATACGACTAAGCGCATGCAGTCGCTAGCGAGCCGTGTGCAATTGCAGTTTACTCAGTTTAATTATATACATATAGTAATTACTAATTAGGACCCGGATTTCAATGCAAAGTGCATATGTTTTTGGTTAATCTTAGACAATGCTTTTCAAGTAAATAATTTGTTTCATGTAACGAATGTTTTAAAGCTAAAATTTTTATTTTTGTTCAATATATTATACAAATTTAGTGTATTTATTTAATAATGTATATAGTTTAGTACAGTCGACTCTCGATAATTCGAAGTTGGCGGGACTGCTGAAAAACTTCGAAATACCGAGAGTCCAAATTAAAAAGTGAGCAAAAAAAATTCTAATTACTGAGAGTTAAGAAAAAATGTTTGTTTTTTTTTTAGTTTTGTACATCATAATTATTACTTATTTCAGCAAATCAGGTAGTACATATTAGATTTATATATTATTTTAAAAAAATTTTAAATTCAATTACATACCTAATAATTACTATGATAAAAGATGATTATTTTTTGAAGAAATCTGTTATAGTTTTTTGCTTCGTCGAATTTAGTTTAATTTTTTCATAATTTTTTAAATTTTGTGAATAAACTTCGAATTACCGAGCGTTGAACGGATGATACTTCGAATTTGTCACGAATTACCGCGTGATTTTCAAAGGACCGAGCATTTACTTCGAATTAATAATGGTTTTGAATTATTGAAGGTTTGAATTATCGAGAGTTGATGATACTTATGTTTGAATGACTAATATTACCCAAAAACATATGCGTGTCAACATCTTATTTTCAATAAAACGATAAATGATCATTATATTTTATTTATTAACACCAAATTATGTAAATATATATATATATATATATATATGAATGGAATTTTAAAGATAATTTTTTAAAGACATTTTCGACTATTTTTTAGAACATATTTGTATGGTTTTAAGTGCATGCATTTAAATCCGGGTCCCAATAATAATATTTAATACGTTTTTGTTATAATATTTTCGTGCTACCGTCGTAATATTATTGTGATAATACGATATCGATAGTGACCACTGTGAAACGTCAAAGAAATTATGTATTAGTATGATGTGGATATTATTGATTCTCTGCCGGTTTCGTTTCGATACGCACAACACGTCGTACGGTTAACCGATGTAGGTGCGTAATAATCACAATAGCAAAGAATACAGAACAACGAGAGCATGATATTATATTATTATTACCTACCGTACACCAGGCATTCGTTATCCGCGGTTAACACCAGCTAGTATCCCACCACTATTATATTATGTACACCATCTCTATCCTGTGGCGGAACCAAACGCCATAAATGTATAACGCGAGTGTAGGTACATTATGTTTCGAGGTTTTCCGAACAAACATATTTTAAGAATGTTCTTAATATTAATATTTAATATCGATTGGAAACGAAAATCTAATTTTTGTGTTTTACTAATTCGGGATTATAAGAGCCACTTGACGTAGGATATAATATAAATCTATAGGTCGATGAATTTCAAACAAATTGTAACACTAAATGCAGCCCAAACATATTTTTGGGACCCACAAATACAATTATTGTGAAATTATAAAAACATTCTGAAAACGACTAAAAATTACATACAAAATATAAAGATCCCATAAACGCATAAAATGTTTTAATATAATTAGACCATTGAAGATAAAAAATTGGTAGAAAATAAGTGAATTTCATGATAGTGTGATTTATTATTTTTAAATTCATGCGATTATTAATTATTGTATCTGAGCGCACATACTAATTGTCCACATATTCCTTTTCCTCCTACTTTTAAGATTTAAATTGATTGTTCTCAAAATTTCTATAGTTCTATGTCGACTTGTCTATCTATATATACTCAAATTAATTATTTTCACGCTGATATTTGGTATTGACTATTTCTTCAAATCGTACGTGACTAAGAGCCCGATCATCGGACATATACAATCCTTTTAAAATGTAGGTCGCAAAATGAAAAGCAAATTTTAAGTATATTTGTACACTTTATATTTTAAGTTTAATGTGAGTATACCTCAATAGTTCTTATCGAAAACGGTTTTGTTTTTTACTGTTTTCCATATTCCGTTAAACTATATTGTTTCAAATGTCTGGATCGCGTAAAATATATAATATATTGTAGTAAAACATTTACAACATGCATTGTTTATATATTTTCTACAAAATCAAAAATTAATATTTGTTGTATCAGCTACTATTATAATTTATACCTATGTGATAATAAATGGGCCATAAAACTATAAAACTATAATGAATAAGTTTGTTCTATACAAGGTTGTATTTTTAATTTTTAGCATTCAACCTTTTAACCTTGCGTTTGAAATAAATTATAATATTAACTATTCATCCTATCTAAAATATAAATACATGTGTGACTATAATACAGCATACTATAGATTACAGTGCCACGCCGGATATTTTTTTTGGGGAGGGAAGGGTTATTTTTTCTCTAGTTTTTACAGCACCGAATAGCTACCAAGTTACTTTATAATTACGTGGTCTTTATCCGTAAAATGTTTATTACACTGTATTGTACTTTTTCCTCGTGACTGTAAAATTATGTTAACAACTATGGTAGGTGTAGGTACATTTAACATAACATTTGTTTTAATATATGATTGTTCACAACGGATTAGTATATTAATTAATATAAGTGCAGAAGTAATTTACTTGTTGTTAACATAATTCATTTTTTATTCAAATACCCAATATTACTAACAAGATGATCTTATAACCTATCAAATATATAAAAAAAACATAATATAATATGTATATAATATATACGCAAATGTATGTTACGTTATGTCTATAAACAAAGGAGATAATAATGAGGCAAACGCGCGAATCGTATTAATGATACAGCTTATGAGGAATAGAAGTCTGTAGACCTCACTAAACAATACGGCCTACGAAAAAATAAAAATGTCGAGACGATGTACGTACCCTCTCAATGCTCCCCTCACTAGCTATTATCATACAAATTTCAGGTGATGTGGCCATGTCAATTATAAATGAACCATTATAAATAAATTTCTATTAAAATGTATTTCACGCTAAAATATACAAAACATTTTAAAGAATACAATGTAATGCAATTTCAATAAATGTAAAAAGGTATAATAATATAATTCAGTAAAAGGAAATACGTATGGCTTAAAAGTATGTCAGGAATTTTAAATCGCTTAATTTACTGATTAACGGGATATATAATGGAATTAACCTAATACATATAATACAGCATTTGATATAATATATTATAATATAAAACTAAAATATTATAACTATATTATAACATAATTTTTAACAATAACTGCACTATTTTCACTGCCATAAAACATTTTAATCGACTTTTGGAAGTAATCATTTCAGTTTAAAATAATCGAAATTATCAAATAATATATTATATACATCGTAATTATTAATAATTTAATGTCCTATAAAATTCAAGTAGTGGATACAGCATTTCCGTTTATCGTTACTTTATTAACTGTTAAAACTATTAAAACAAATATTAATGTGGTTCGTTGAATTTATGATTTCATTTTCTGAAAAATTGTGGAAATACGGCGGTGACTGCTGGTAAAATAATTCAGGTAATTCATACGATAAACCTATGGCCTTTATCATTATAATAATATATGGTTTGATACGCTATAAAATCTATAGAGGCAAACGGCAATATTTGAATTGGAAATTAATTGATTGATCTACGGGATCGCCTCGTATATTATAAACATATTTAATATAATAATTATGTAATATTACGCATTTGTGTACAAACGTGACGTTATACGTTAACATATTAGTATTGTTTAACATTACTTCAGCGGGTAATATTAATGTATTCGTGCCGGATAATAAATCATCGTTTGCAGTATAATAATATGTAAATATAAATCAATTTCACGCTGCACCAATATATTGATACTATACAAGTTATATATAATATAGTAATATAGTTTGATTCCAAATCGATAAGATAGGTACGATCATCACTCTCAAAGTGTGCAGAAAAATAATAGTGATTTTGCAATATACTGCAAATGCGTTCGACGTACAACTTATAATTATGGGTTGTACACTTGTTGCAGAATCGAGAAACAAGTCACCAAGATTAGAAATTATAATAAAAAATGTTCAACAAAATTTGCTTATTTTTACAGAGCATGATGAAATTCCTAAAGGACGATAACAGCGATCCCGAGTTCGTCGAAATGAGGAAAATGTTGTTCAATCCATACAGACTGTACACGTGCAGCGGCGTGGACAGCGTCATTCGTGGAGCGATGAATACGAGTGCCGGGAAATCTGATGCCTTTTTCACACCCGAAGTAAGATAATAATTTTAAGGGATGTGAATTGAATGCACTAAGTAATAATGAAATTAAACCCCTGAAGAGTACAAAAAAAAAGTTCAAAAACGCAATACCATAAAATACACTATATAAATCTCGGTAATCAAAATTTAAAAAACCAACCAAGTTTTATCGAGAAAAAAATTGAATAAAATGTATAACCTATATTGATTTAAAAAATAGTTATTTTATAACTTTTTTAAACTCAAATAAAATGTTAACATTAAAAAGTTTTAAGAACTGCTGTTACTTATTAATCGATATTTGACACTTGTAGCTGAACAGACCATGCGGATAGGTTTTTTTTATATTTTTTATAAGTGTATTATGAAATTATAATTAATTAAGTATGCCGTATATAGAATACAGACCGTGTAAAATATTTATAGTACGAAAAATAAAAATAATACATAAAGTGTTTTGATTAATTGAAAGTATTATTAAAAATATTTAAAAATTTCCCTGAATAGTCAAATAAAAAAATGTATGAAGATATGTGAAATGTAAGCTTTGAAACTTAATTCGTTTGTAGATAAGGTATGTTTGGTTTGGGAGATATGACTCCTTGCCTCATGACCACCTTAAATATTTTTTAATATCTTTTCAAATTATGAAACGATAAATAAAAAAAAATTCATAAATTCACATTTCCCCTTGAAAAATCCTGCGTACACCACTGTAATATATTTACACAAGGCTTTTAAGTACCAATAATACATAGGCGCAGGATGGCTTCATCTCGAAAATTTTTCTGTTTGTTTGTGTGCCGTACGATACTGTAACGCTATCAGAACAATGCCCGAGAATACCAATCACCGTATAACTGGTATGGCTTTTGAAGAGATTCTAGTGCCTGACTAAAATCTCTTAACGTGCACACACTACGCGATTCTCCACAATTACTACGAATGATTAATTATCGTTATACAGTCGGTATTCGATACGTATATATGCATATTAATTACTATAATGATTCCTTCAACGAACACAATAATATTCGTCGCATCGTATTCTAATATATATATTGTCAAATAATAATAACAGAACAATACTGCGTAGAATACGGTCCAGAGTCACAATTTAGATGCCGTCTCGTTATAATAATATAATATACGAGTCATTTATACAAAAAAAATATGTCCATAATATTCACTTTTAATTTTAACGAAAAGCTAGTTAATAATTATGTATGAGTGCAAATATTGATCATTGCCGAGTAGGTATTACAGTGCTATTACTCTGAATAATTTTTCCTCATTAAAAATTATAATATTATTGTAATGCCATAAAATGTTGATTATCAAAATGGAGAACAATCCAGGAAACTTTACCTGTTATTATGACGACATACGATCACGATTGGCGTTGACAAATAATTGTGTATATTTACCAAGAGCGAACCTGTTGCTCATAATATATCATCACATTTTTCACGGTGACCGTCTGACCAGATTCTTTCTTCGACGCAGGTCACCAGACATCTTTTCGAGAAGAACCACAGATCGAGGCGCACCGGAGGACAGTGTGGATTGGACTTGGTCGCATTGAACATACAGAGGGGTCGAGATCACGGACTTCCGGCGTACCCGCGGTGGCGCGAAACGTGCGGGTTTCCGAGGCCACGGAGTTTCAGCGATCTGGAAGGGCACGTCGAACCGGCAACACTGCAAAGGATATCGAAACTCTATAAGTATGTATATATGATATATTTTTATATATAGATCACCGATTCTGCACAACCCGTTTATCGAGGATAACTGCGTAAATAGTTATTAATAAAAAATTGATATCAAGTACAAGTACCTATAGATATATGAAAGATCAATCGATCAATGATGTCTCGTGTAAATCAGGTTTAACATCTCTAAAAAAAAATACGATTTTATAATGATGGTCAAATAGACTGCTCCGAGTTACTCAGGCTGTTAAAACGAAGAGTTCCAAATAAAACCACGCGTTCAAGTAACCCTTTAAAAGTACCACAAATAAATATAATTAATTATAACTAATACAGCCCTGTAAGCCACTCTCTCAACTCCTCTAATAATATAGGTTTTTTAAAAATAATGTTTTCTGCAGTATGTTCTGTAGATTATTTGATTTTCTAAGACGCATAACTATTTATTCAAATTAAAGGCAACAAAAGGCATCAGTGTGCCAAATTTATGAGGTATTCTAATTAACCCTCCCATATGTATAACAAATTATCATCCCTCCCACCCAGCATAATTTTGGATACGAGTATATTATTGTTATATTATTACTACGATTAAAATCGATACAAAATAGGCGGAAAATATGAATATCATCACTTAACGGCGATCAATATAATATGGCATGATATCAAAACATTGAAATAAATGAAAATTCACATGAAATAATATAATATATTATGCCTAATAGATGATTCATAAATCCATTATAATTTGACAGATCCGGATTATATAGGATTTATTAAACATATTCCGCGGATTTCATTCCGGTGGTGTCCCGTGAACGATGTCAAAAATATTGTTGTCGAACATGAAAAAATCTCGAGACGCTTTTATAGTAGGTTAGGACTAGAAAATCGTTTTAAATGTCTCTAAAAAACACGAAACGGTCTAGTTTTCTGCTATATAAATGTTTTTTTCAGACTATGGACGCTTTTCGATCGGTAAACAGTTGAACGTATAGATAGGTATAGGTACTGCAGCAATGATATTTTAATTACAATATCAATTATGTATTTCTTCGTGTCAGAGTCGTTCGTGTGGTGTGCAGTACAAAGTTTTCGATTGAAATATATTTTAAGTTTGTAAACTCTAAATTCTCGGCGAACGTCGCATTAATACTTGACAAGCAATCTGGAATGGGATAAAATGGAATTCATTAAAGTTTACCGCGGCTTGCAGTCGAGTTTTCCTATATATCCGTACGCTCTAGCCACGTGCAACAGTGTACACATTTTACATTATTATAATATATATACCTACTTGTTTATTTCTAATGCTTATTCAAAAAGACGCGCCACCGTGGTCGCTTTTATGACTATATTCCTATGATAATAATAATAATGTATATTATAATATTACAATGAATATTGAATAAACAAACGAAAAAATATCATATACAACATACAAGATGATTATCGTATCGCTGAAAATCGCGTTGTTCACAGCTAAAGGTAAGAAATATCTGTGACCTCTCCGCTCCAACCACTATAGTATCATAAATAACAATTTCTTTTTACTCATTCTACCTATATACGACACGTATGTTATAAATAATGATTGCACAGCTGCAGTTATTAAAATGTTTGATTATAAATTCACGTCTTTAAATGTATAAGTAAATATATCATTTCTATCGATTATATTATATAGATCCTCGGTATCACTGCGGTTATACATCTCCTCATCGTTAAAAATGTGTAAGCATAGGTCGGTGACTCGTTTTTTTATATACATAAGGTGGTCCTCCAGACGAATATTTATCTCAAATACTCGGATTGCCTTTACGTGACAATAATAGCGATAATGTGTTTCTGGTAGTTGATTAAATTGACGATTTCATCTAACCAAAAGGTGATATATTTTATAATATATCCTAAAACTATAGTGTATGTAAGGTCTAGACACTCGGTGGTGGTATCCAGGGAGATTTTATAAGTGTTGATATCGTATAAAGTATAATGCCGAACTAAGTGACCGGAATTTTTATTTTTACGAAAAATTCAATACTATGTGTATTTTCGGTTGATTATTGATCGCGCGCCTTTTTTATTATGCGAAGTTGGAAAGAGATAGGCGAGTCCCTGCTATTACACTTAATTTTGGTAAAAATATATTTTACAATAATTATCGACACATACATGGTTGTCTTGGTAGTGGAAAAATATTTTTTTTTTCAAATAAAAATCGTATGACATTATATCAACTGGAGAAACATAGCAATTTGCGGATCAATCTAAAAATTGTATTTGTTAAGATTTTGTGATTTTGATTAAATGTGATTACCTATATCTACTGGTGTGCGGTTTTCAAACGATGATGTGATTTTAGATTAATTGTGTATTTTATTAATGTGTAGATTAATTGTGCGTTATTGATACATATCAGTGCTCGTAATATTGAACGGTGATGCGATTTTGTGAAAACTGTGCGGTACCTATTGATGTATAGAAATGTGCAGCGGTCAGCGGATTTGCACGACGACCTTTTTTTGAAAGTCTGCGGTTATGACGAACGCCGATTAATATGAAGATTGATGACTACAATGAAGAGTGTGTAAAGCACCCCAAATGTTAAAAATTAAATACAAAAAAAAAAAAAACCCTTGAAAAATCCTGGCTACGCGTCTTGTCCATAATATCCTTGTATATGATACTATAGTAGTATAGTCAAGTAAGATTCCTATACTATTATTCTTATTTTACGCTTCAGTCATCGTGTGGTCCGTCGCTTCGTGTTCAAAATTTTCAGGCTGTAATAATATTATTAATTATCAAATAAGCAATAATATTGCTTATTTGAAACAATTCAACTAATCATTCATAACCATTTAACTACACGGTCGAGTATAGTTGAACATATTTTAGTATATTATATGCAGTAACGTGTTTACCACGCGTAGGACATTACGGCGACAGTGGTCAGTGAAATATATAACCCATCTTCAGCACCTATGTCTTGTACTCAATTGAATCATTATTATTATTATCTATCTTCTACATATTTTGTATAAAATTGGGAAGTTTATCTGTAAATATTCGAAAACTAATAAAATTACTGTATCGTTTTCAACGAAAGTTTTAACAATAAATTCCATGAAAATAGAGGGTTTATACCTTATTTTTCTACCCTTATAAAGGTAGCTCACGCAAAAAATATTTTTTTCATTTATTTAAATTGTTACCATTGGTATTTTATTGCATATTATATTACACAAACTATTGTATTTAGTAAAAATAAGCCAGGTACATTTTTTTACAAATGTATGTTCATAAAAAAAAACAAATTTTCACGGCTCTGCAAACAGCATCATGTGGGACAGTTTAAAGGTATTATAAATTATTATTTATGAAATATTTATATTGCGTGATAAGTAAAATAGTTATGATAAAGAGATGATAGGATTTTACATCAGTATTTCGAACTAATATATTTTTTTAGTTTTAAAATTGTGCTACTTAAGAATATTATGATGCCAAAATGTATAATTTACTTCTACTATGACAACACAGGTCGATCGATGACTTGGACCTTTACACCGGGCTGCTTTCGGAAAAGCCGCTGGAAGGAAGCATCTTGGGGCCGACGATCACGTGTCTGTTGGCCGACCAATTCCTGCGGGTGAAATCGGGCGATCGTTATTGGTACGAGACGGACGAAAAACCTCAAGCGTTCAACGAGGGTGAATAAAACGCATATAATGATAATATACAATTTTAAATTATATAATATTAAAATACTCACTTAGAACATACAACGAACGTCGAGCCTCTTCTCCACCTGCGATCACTACAACTGACCTTCCCCTCCGCATTCGCATCTTCTCACGTAATACACACACGCGTCACACGCGCATTCCTCTAACGTAGATTATGTATATTATAATCAGTACTGAGTTTTCAGTGGATTTTGTATTTTATCTACTACAAGTATACTTTTCTTATACGATGCTCATCTGGGTACGAATCTGTTACATATCTGTTTGAAAAAAATGTTTATAGGTACTTATATGCACATATCCGTTTCTCATTTTATTGCATTTTTGATTTTTTATTATCATATATTATAATGGGATTTTATTCGTTCCTCATTTAACAATTTAAAACTGAGATTAGACGCTTAGACAGACTACATAGTTAAGATGGTTTAAAAGTGTTAAAAAACAACCCATTCCACTTCTTTCTTTTAGATTATTAAAAGTGTGTGATTTAAAAAAGGAAAAATTCATTTTTTGAATAAATTTAGTCATTTACGTGAAGATATTATAAAATATTAATTAGGTATATTAAACGAACTAGCCACAAAGTTATCTAAAAATAGAATAAACAAATGCACTCGTTTTTTAATTTTCCTATACATACCTAGTTGAAATGTTCTGGTTTTTCCGAAACAATGTTTTTACATAGTTTGAATAAGGACTTATATTCAAGTTATGTACAAAGTTTATACTACCCACGCGTTATTTATATATATATACCATCATTCCGACCGCATCTAAGTTCCGTATTGCAAACCACATAGATAGGTACCTATATATGATTATATAATAATATAATAATATTATTATGCGCGAACTGTTCTCGTTCGTCATCGCATTACATATATTCGTTTCCAATCAATATTATATACGTCATCGTACACATTATTTCACTCGACTGATATAAATGAACAAATGTAAAATATATTAAATACATAATATATATATTAATATTTAATACGTGTATGTGTGTGTGTTGTATATGTGAACAGATCAACTGTCAGAGATCCGAAAAACCACTTTTGCGGCAATAATTTGCGACAATTCCGACGAAATTGAATCCGTTCAGCTGCACGTGATGCAAAGCGCCCGAAAAGTCGGCAACGGCAGAGTTGGTTGCGACAGTTTAATAAAAACGTCTCTCGATCCGTGGAAAGAAGAGTTCGACGCGGCCACCCCTGTAGCCGTCCCTCTGGACCCGACCACCGCCATCCATCGGGACCCTACCACCGCCATCCATCGGGACCCTACCACCGCCACCGCCGAAGTCACGACCAGTAATAATAACGACGGATCACAGTCGACGAAAATCGACTCCACTACAGCGAAAACATAAATTTATTTCAAGTCGGGTAGCGCAAAAATAATTTTAAAAATTTAATAATACCCACCTTGACCTGCAATAATATCAGCTGTGTAAAAAAAAACATTAACTCCGAATTCGCGTACGGCTCAGAATTTCGTCATTATATTATAATTATTTTTTTCTACCTTCGATAAAACTCACAAACGGTCAGGTTAGGAGGGGCTTATGCGTGAGCTTAGCCTCCCGAAATAATATCTTTTTTTAAGTCGGATTTCTTAATAATTATTTTTACCTATGTATAGTTTTTTTTTTTATTATTTAAAGACAAAAATGTATTATATTCACACGAAAACAGTAATAATTATAAGTAATTATATGATTACCGATCATATAGTGATAATAAATTATACGGTTATTGAACAATATTTTACACGACAATAACTATAATAATCTCGAAACAATATCTGTTTAATAGATTTCTAAACATAAGGAAATCGAACAGGCTAGTCTACTGATAAAATGATAAACTTTTCACAAAAAAAAACAAATCACTGTATTATTGTGTGATGATTGAGACATCGGAAGGCCTCACACACCCGCGTGTATTGTACCCATCTATACAACATAACATCACAATATGTGTTATTAGGAGGGAAGGGGGGATTAAAAGGTAATTAGCATACCCAGCTTTGAGATTTACATCCTTCACGATTTATTCCATTATCGTACAGACTGAGATTTCTTCGGCACGCATCCAGTTATTTTTATTGAAATTATTGTGTCACTGCTACAGCGTTTAGCAGCTCCGATTTTATGTAATTGTAAGCTTTGACATTGGAATCGACCCATATTATCATAAGACTTAAAGGTACCTATAAGAACATATTCAATAATTTCTTGAAAATGTCCTTCATTTAAACCACACCTAAAAAAAAAAAACAATAGAATAAACATTTTACGAAAATCTCCGATCACGATACTTCCAGACGGACACGATGCTTCACCATGGGCGTAACACGTTTCCACCAAAAGTAGACTTTTCCCTTTTCCGCCAATACCCGTTACCACCAAATGAGATATACCTATATCATTAAACAACGGTTAATTTACCAAAATAATTTGTATACTAAGCTTATATTAAAATCTTTAATAGGTACAGTAATAAGTTTATTTAAAATATTAATGCTGGATTGAAAAAATGATAAATTAGTGTATTTATAGTTATGTATAATATATTATATCTACTTATTTATATAATTGGTTGATATTTTTTTTTCAATCGTAGAATATAGTAGTATACAATCGTTTTTGTAAAAACGTGGTAAATAATTTTATTGGGTGGAAACGGATATTGGTGGAAAAGGGAAAGGTACACTTTTGGTGGAAACGGGCATCGCCCTTCAACGTCATAATAATGTTTTTTTATTCCGAGTAAACATAGGCCATTGGGTAGTTATTCTTGGTAGGTTTTTGTACAGTGGGGATTGGTACGGCGATTGGAAACACGTGTATGTATAGCAATAGGTTTTTGCCACTGAGAACCCGGGTGGTCACCCATCCGGGTACTAATGACAACAAGCGGTGCATACTCATAATAATCTTGTTGTGTGATTGATTTTATCAACCGCACCACGCCGGGTCACTGTCGTAATAATATATTATAATATTAAAGTGCGAACTACAATAGACATAATAGTATAATACACTCAAAGATGGGCATTAACACTAATTAAAAAGTTACTAATAAGTTTTTTTTAACTTTTAGTATAATTATGTCAGTTGAAATAAATTAGTTTTTCTCAGTTGATTTAAAAATAATTCATTAGGTTAAACAATTTTTGAAATTTTTTGTTTCTACGAAAGTACACCTATATTAAAATTAAAATAATCCAACTCCAATAATAATACAAATATGTTTGTCAATTTTCTTGATAAAATAATTTTGAACACGGATAAATGTCATTAAAATATAAAAAGCATAATATTAATGACCATAAATATTGCTATTTTATATAAAAATATAAACTTTAAAAATAATGTAAATTAAAATAGGTATAACTGTATAAGTGTACAGTGGTACATAAGAATAAAAATTTAATAACATTGTTTTTGTTTATTATAATAAATTTAGGAAACTAAAAACAATGTGTTCATTCTTTATGTGATCCACATAGGTACAAGTTAAAGAAATTAGATTAACTTTTTTCAAACTGAGTTATTGGCGTGCTCGCGGGGTGGCTGAAACTCTGAAAGTGTCATATCTCCCCTCCCCGCTTTTCCCCCTTTGGCTTATTTTAAAATATATAATAAATCAATTAATTAATTTTATATAATGTGATCTGAGAATAGCGAAAACTTTGCTTCCTTCTGCTTTCAAAAAAATAAAAATAAAATAAAACTGAGTATCCACGAGTTAATATATTTTTTTTTTCAAAAACTTTTTATTAACTTTTAACTCGTAAAATTAAATTTATGAACTGTTAATCTTTATCTTATCGATTTTGTGATCTCTTAACTAAACTTAACTCGAATTAGTTATAATCATTAACTTGCCCACCTTTGAATTTATATGCACATAACGAATTATATGTTATCGTAGGTACGTTATTATATCTGGAAAGTCTAAAAAAAACATTTCATCGTGTTAGCAGATATTGCGATGGTAATAATCAGGCCCTATTTTTTAGTGAACCCTGACACAAAGTGTGTAATCCGAAATTGAAAGTGTGCACTACGGATTCGAGAAGTGTGTAGTGTGTACCTAATACTTATACTAAATACTAATAAATAAGACTACTTGCTAGATTATAGTAATAGGTAGTACAGAGTACATTATACACATTTTTAAAAAATACAATTTTTTTAGCCCCCCACGGTTCTGTATTATTTCATGGTACATTAAAAGATGTGTAGTACGAATTTTTGTGAAAAATAGGGGTTGGTAATAATTATTATTATAATATTGTGACGTCTTTCACGGTTGGCACTACTATCATTATTCATTAGGATAATATTATATATATTGTATACGCGAACATTAGACAAAATGCAATAATTCAAAGAGAACGTTTTATGGTTTAAATAATATTCAAAGACTAAACACGAGACGACAAAACGGTACATAATCATTTCTTTGATGTGCATTCTCATTGCGAGTAGGTGCTATTTGTATTTTGTAAAAACGACTTTTCTGTTATTATACTGCCGTCGTATGACGATAATAATAATAATTGTTATCTTTACGCAAACGTTAAAAATTAAAAAAAAATTTTGTACATTCTCTCAAATGTATGTTTTATTTATTTATTTTTTTTTATTATACATCTTAATATGTACATTATTATCATCAAATTACTACTGTTAAATGATGAACGTTCAAATACATTAAACATTGTGAATTTTTCGTGTAAAGATATAAGTTTATATGGTTTATAAATGTATGATGAAAACAATAATGCGTAAAAAATCCAAATTACAAACGACACAAACACGTATAGAGGACTATAGTCTATATACTCAATAATATTTGTAGATATATCATATTGTTAACCTCGTAAAATATTTAACTGCAAAAGTGCAAAATTATAATAAACTGCTAATAAAATATTTATATTTATCCTTCTATGTACCTATACTTTAATAGGCAGATATGTTTATTTTTATTGAGCGATTAATCTTTTTAATAAATAAGTTAAATTAATTTTGTTTTGTAATTGATCGCGTAAACATTTTTTAATTATTCTAAAAGTCCGGTTACGGATTACAGTTTGAATGGTTCGGTTTGATTCTGATGGCAGGAGCGAAAAATCAAAAAAAAAAAAAGATTGGTTAGATCTAAAAAATCAGAGTTTGCATATTATAAGTTCGTTGGTGATGTGATTCCATTAAATTTCAGCAGGTGTAAAATTGTTATCAATAATTATAAATTAGGTAAGTCATTTGTATTGAACTAATCAAAGAGTAAATTAATTGATTCATAATATTTATATCCGATCGCATCGCTAAAGCTATCTTTTTATAGTTGATCGCATAAAAATAACAATATCATTCTCAACTTTATCTTTAAGTACTTACCTATAATTTATTTTAAGCACTATAATATACAGTATGCATGTCATAAAAACACCTAATATATTGTATTAAAAAATCTCTTGCAAAGTCAGGGTCGGCGTGAACAATTTCTTGATTATTATCATTTTTCATTTTTTGAACAATTTTTTTTTTATTGATCTGAAATATACATCGACAACTAGGCCATTAGTACACGAATTTTTGATTACATTGTTAGTATTTTAGTATTTACATGATTACATTAAATTAATTTGTACAATTCTGTTTTTTTTTTTTAAGAATAAGATTAATCTTTTTTTTTTGAACAATTGTTCAATATAAAAGGTATATGTATTATATTTCATTAAAATACTGCAGAATAAGAGTATAATATGTCAGCGCAATATTTGTTTTCACGCTCACGCCCTCAAGCGACATAAATAAAACACTTTCAACTAAAAAACATTTCTTAAGCAATCTTAGAATAATATCACTTATTAAAAAAATTGTAGAGGATAATATTTTCGAGAGTTCGACTTTTCGATTTTATATTTTACTTCTATTTGATTTTGTATTCAACTTTCAAAATAATAAAAAAAAAATGTGTACATTTAAATTATGTTTAAATTGTTTTGAAACAATATTTAGACAATTAATTATGTCATACCTCCGAAAATAATATTCTCTATCAATTTTATTATTGGTGTTTTAGACTAAGATCGCTCAAAAACATTAAAAAATAAATAAATATTCTGCGTAAATGCGTTTTATCTATGTTGCGCATGAACCTGAGAGGGAAACCAAATATTGCACTTGCATCCCCTTAAATCAAATTGTACTTAATACAGTGTTCGAAATGGAACTTTTTCAATTACCTGTAAAAATTCACCAGTCCATTTTTAAAATTTTTTTATTACTTTAGTTAAAGGTAGATACTATTCTTATGGTGGAACCTTTTAAGCCATATGTTTTCGCATTCGGTACTTATTCCTCATTTGCACATAATGCGTGTGTCGATGATAGCTATTAAAGGTCAAGGCAGTTAAGGTCTGAAACACGTCACTACATTTCTCCGATCTAATGTGAAGTGTGATTCCAACAAGGTCAGCAAAATCTGTTCACCAGATTCGGGGAACTACGATGCAAAAGAAAAATCTAGAAAAATGTAATTTTTTTTCAACAGTTGTTCGGTTATTTAATTTTTATGAAAAATATAATTTTCTTATAAGTTAAATCGTCCACCCTAGCTGTATAGTATTATGTTTTATTCTGT